CTCATGCCACCTGCTGGCGCTATAATTGTTTTCTTAATTTTATTTTTGGACTGTTAATTGCAGGTGTATAGAAATGCAACTGTTTTTGTATACTAATCAAGTATCCTAAAAGTTTTCTAGATTGTCAGCTCTAATACACCTTCATTCAGATTTTTTTGGCAAATCTCTATATGAGATTATGTCACCTGCAAATAGAAATAATTTTACTTCTTTCTTTCTAATCTATATGCCCTTTATTTATTTTTCTTTTTAACTGCCTGACTAGAGCCTCCAGGGCAATACTGAATAGTAGTGGTGAGAATAGGCATTCATATCTGTTTCCTGCTCTAAGGGAGGAAGCTATCAATTTTGCACCAGTAAATTTGATGTTAGTTGTAGGTTTTGTATATCAGACGACTTGTATCAGGTTGAGGTAGTTTTCTTCTATTTCTAGATTACTGTGTGGTTTTATGATAAAAGGGTATTGGATTTTGTCAATGCTTTTTCTGTACTTATTGAAATATCATACAGTTTTTGGCTTTTATCCTGTTAATATGGTGTATTAAATTGACTTTTGTATGTTGAACTACCCTTGCATTCCTGGAATAAATACAACTTGGTCATGTTGTATAATTTTTCTTATATATTGCTGGATTCAGTTGGCTAATATTTTACTGAAGATTTTTGCATCCATATAAGAGATATTAGTCTATATTTTTCTTGTGATGTCTTTATCTGAGTTTGGCACCAGAGTAAGGGCTCACAGACTAAGTTGGTAAGTGTTCCTTCCTCCTTCCTTCCTCCTCCTACTCCTTATCATTATCTTCTTCTTTTTACCAGTGATACCATGAAAGCCTAGGTTTTTCTTTGTGTACAGTTTTGTCTTGTTTTTGTTTTTGTTTTAGAGAGATTTTTGCATAGAGTATGTGTGCTCACTGGAGAGATAGAGAGAGACAGAGAGACAGAAAGTGAGAAATCACCGCCCCCCCCAAGGGGGATGGCCACACCACAGTCCCTTCTCCTCCACTCTCCTCTCAGGATTTTGGACACGTGCACTTGTGCCCAGCATGAGTCTTAAATTGCCAAGACTTGAACTGGTTGACTCTGTGGGAGTCCAGCAATGTAACAGTCACACCGTCTGTGGTCCCTTTGCTTTTTTAATAATTTAATCTCTTCTTTTTCTTAGATATAGTCATATTTCCTTTTTCTTTTAGAGCCAATTTTAATACTTTCTGTCTTTGTAGAAATGTTATCTAATTTGTTGGCATACAACTGTTTATAGTATTGCCTTATAATTCTTTAAATTTCTTTGATTGGTAGTGATGTCCCCTCTTTAATTCTCAGTCTGAGTAATTTGAGTCTTTTCTTTTTTTCCTTCAGTCTGTCTAGATAAAAGTTTGTCAATTTGGTTCATATTTTAAAAGAACCAACTTTTGGTTTTATTAATCTTCTCTATTTTTTTTATGCTTATTCATTTCCACTCTAATCTTCATTACTTACTACCTTTGGCTTGCTTTTGCCTTACTTAGCTCTTCTTCTTCAGGTATCTTAATATGGAAAGTTCAATGACTTACTTCAGATCTTTTTTATTTATAGATGTTTGCACCCACAAATTTCTCTCTAAGCACTGCTTAGGCATCCCATATGTTTTAGTATTCTTTTGTTTTTCTTCTCTATCTTTAAACTGATAAGAACAGATATTACACTTGACATTAGCCAAAAGTCCAGAAAGTGATTGCTCTTATTTTTAGAAACTTTTCTAATGCATAATATATCAGCAAATCTTCTTGTCTCTACCTTAAGTTGTCTGTCTTCAATTCTTTTTTTTTTTTTTTTTGGAGAGATTTTCACTGTAGGGCGCGTGCGCTTGCCAGACAGACAGAGAGAGACATAGAGACAGAAAGCGAGAAATCACCCCCCAGGGGGGATGGTCACGCCACAATCCCTTCTCCTCCATTCTCCTCTCAGGATCTTGGGCACGCACGCACACGCGCCCGGCGTGAGTTTTAAGCCACCGGGTCCGGGACACAAACCGCGGTCGACTATGTGGGAGTCCAGCGACATAGCCATTATGCTATCTGCTGGTTCCCTCAATTCTTTTTTTGAAAACTTTTGGTCTAGGTGTGTTTTGGAACTCACATGTTTTTGAGCTTTTAAATGTCATATAACATGTAGCACCACCAATGGAGTCTGAGGCAGCACCCCATAGTCATATTCATTTATATGTCTGTTGGAAAACATGAATATTAAATTTAAGTGGAATAAGGATTATTGAATACTCTCAAGGCAGTTTCGCTTGAATTTGGTCCAACCTTATTAATAGAAATTCAGTTGTTAGGATTTTTGAAGTTTGGAATTGAAAACAAGGGATTATTGATCTGTGTATCCAGAAGGAAACCACTTTTCTCCTGCTTCTCTGTGGCCACCCTGACCAAGCTAACATCATCTCTTGCTGGGGCTGTTACAGAAACTTCCAGACTAATCTCCCTGCTGCAGCTTGATTAGCCTCTGGTCTATTCATAACACAGCATTTCTTTAAAATGAAAGCCATATTGTGTCACTATGTTTCAAAAAACAAAAATAAATGACAACAAACAAAAGCTGTTCCCTAGGCCTGTATGGCTGACTGCAGTCCAGCTCCTGTATGCTGCCATGTTCCACTCTGACCTCATCTCTTACTTTGTTCCACCTCAAGGTCTTTGTACTTGCTGTTTCCTCTGCCTACAATAGTATTTCCACTGATAAATATGTGGCTTACCTCTACATTTCTTTTGGACTTTTTCTTTTTTCTTTTTTTTTTTTTAATGTATAATCGGCGTTTTATTTTTTCCCCCAGAGGACAAACAGTTCTTCAGTCCTTAAAGACTTGGCTCCTTACATAGGATTTGGTGAAGGGTGAGGGGCAGCACCCGCAGGTCTAAATCGGGGTGGGGGTGTTCAGTCCTTGCGAGCTTCCCAAGATCGGTTCCTGACTACCTTGCTATGAATGGCACAACTCACATAGTAATGTAGCTTCACATACACCTTGGGGAGCACATAGGCATGGAAGACACTTGCTTCGGAGATGTCCCTGGCAGCTGCGGCCTCTACCATGTTCCGGATGACGAACTTCTTAATAGCCTTGTCTTTGGGCACGCATCGTGCGCAGTTCGTGCAGCGAATAGGCTGCACATGGCCACGGCCCTTTTTGGCACGGCCGTTGTTCCTTCTTTTCTTTGTCATCTCAGAAGCGAGGTCACGAGAGACTAGACTTTTTCTTAAATGTCAGCTTAGTGTGATCATTTCTGAGCAAACCCTTAGAAATAGAAACACATTTTCCTGGCTTCCTCTTCCTACTGCATGCCTTACCTGGCATCACCTAACAAAGGAGGTATTTCATTATTTCTTGTGTGGATTTTGTGTTCCTCACCATCCACTATAACCTCTGTGAAAGCAGGGTATTTTGACTATTTCTTGGCTATCTCTCTCATATTTGGAACATTGTTTAGCACTTGGTATATTTGTTGAAGGAATGAATGAACCAGGACTGCTCCTTGTGATCACAGACTAAGCAAATCTATTCTATTAGTCTGCTGAGTTGCCATAACCAAGCATCGTAGACTAAGTGGCTTAAACCACAGAAATTTATAATTTTACAGTTCTGGAGGCTGGAAGTTCAAGATAGAGATGTCATAGGTTGATTTTCTGAGGCCTCTCTGGTTGGCTTGCCAATGGCAAGATGCCTGTCCTTCAAGTCTTCTTGCTGTGTTTTCACATGGGCTGTGTATGTCTTAATTTCTCCTTTTAAGGACATCAGTCATATCATTTAATAGTAATTACTTCTTTAAAGATCTTATCAACTGTATCTTTCAATACAGTCACATTATAGGTACTGGGGGTGAGGACATCAACATATTAATTTGGGGGGAGGAAGGAGGGGCACAATTAAACCCATGACATCTATCAATCATTTATACTGTGAGTGAGCTGTCTTATGTATCTGTGCAAAGCAGTGATACTAATCTCTTTTCTAAAGTCTTAACATTCCTTTGATTCACTCCAAGCTCTCTCCCTTTGGCTCTGTGACAGTCCAGAAGACAAAGTGGATGGATCACAAAAAATTGCCATCTTCATTGCAAAAGTATGTGAAATGATGGATAAAGCAAATCAATGAAAATTCTTCTTTTGTGTGTATAAAGAATAGTACATCACTATGGTCACTGTATCCAAATTTTAGGAGTAGACAGGTCATTAAGTATAGAGAGGTATGAAGGTAAACAAAATGAAGATGGTGATATTACTGCCCCCACCTGGGTCAGACATATTTAGTGGAAAGCCTTATTGGCACCGTTTGCCTTCGTATATTGCAAAATAAGATGAAAACCATTGGTGATAGGGGCTGCTGCCTCCCTGAGTTTTCTTTTTCTTTCTTTCTTTTTTTTTTTTTTTTGAAAGAATTTTTTGCTATAGGGTGTGTGTGCTCACCAGATAGACAAAGGGAGACAGAGAGACAGAAAGCAAGAAATCACTCCCCACCCCCATACCCCCCCCACCAAGGGAGATGGCCATGCCACAATCACTTCTCCATTCTCCTTTCGAGATTTTGGGCATGCATGCACACGTGCCTAGTGTGAGTTTTAAGCCACCGGTGGTTGTCCACATGGGAGTCTAGCAATGTAACCATTATGCCATTTGTTGGTCCCTCCCTGAGGTTCTTATTTTGCCCCCAGCTTCCTTTCTCCACATTCAACACATTCTGGGAATATTTGGACAGTATGCAAGCAGGAGCTTAAGTGCTGTAAGGTCTACTCATGCCAACACAAAACATCAGGTACATAAGTTCCTAAGAGTCTACCCTTCAATTGTCTATGTATATATCATCACTTTCCTAGCAAACTCACACATGTAGATACCATTTGTGCATCTACTGAGACAGAAGCCCCTTAAACAGCCAGTGAGGGAGAAAGGGGCACGTGAAAAGTATGCTTTGTCTATCTGACACTTTCCTGGAGAATGCATCACAATGGAAAAGGAGGAAAAACCTTGATCATGTTGTCCACAGACATGGAAAATATTTTGTTGTCCTCAGCAGACACATGGATGTAGCTCACAGGAGCCGCATGGTTTCTCAGCATACCTGTTGGCTTTCTAGAATGGAAAAAGAACAGATGAACACCAAGCAGCTCTAGCTGCTATTTCTAAATAAAAATGCAAGACTAAACTTGGCCCAGATCTGGCAGTTTTATTCAGCCTGGAGGAGGGTTATGTCTCCCTCTGAAATTACACAAGTATATATCTTGTGTGATAAAAGGACCGAAGCAAATAATAGCCAGTTATAGCAACATAACTCAGGGTGAGATGAAGCCTCCAGCTTTGTTTCTCCAACTGTTGGCAATAGCTCTATAAAAGGCATACATGAGGAAGACTCCGGGGTGGGGTAGATAGATTCCATGGCAGGTTGTCATTGCATTAAGCAGGCTGAGTGAACAGTATGAAATCTGGGGGAAATAGTTTTATAAGGTAAGTGTGTATGTGTGTGTGTGTGTGTGTGTGTGTGTGTGTTTTGAAAGGTTTTTGCTATAGGGCACGTGCGCTTGCCAGAAAGACAGAGAGAGACAGAGAGAGAGAAAGCGAGAAATTATCCCCCGGGGCGGGGGGGCGGGGTGTAGATGGCCATGCCGCAATCCCTTCTCCTCCATTCTCCTCTCGGGATCTTGGGCACACACGCACACATGCCTGGCGTGAGTATAAGCCACCAGGTCTGGGACTTGAACCTCAGTCAGCTACATGGGAGTTCAGTGACAGAGCCATTACACTAACTGCTGGTCCCAGTAAGTTTGTTTTAGGGAGTTCTGAGGGATCACAGTACCCTGTAGGGTCTCAGGACTAAATGTATAGTGGCAGGATTGGGAGGCAGGAACAAGAGTGCTAAGGCTGAGGATAAGAGGAGAGCACATGCCTTTTTATAACTGAGTCATTGGAAGGTAAGCAGATTGTTCTCCATCACTGAGAAACAGGAATCTGAGACAGTGAAAGTGGGTAAAAAAGAAGCGATATCTCCAAAAAGTTCATGAAAAATTTTTCTTATGAAAAACTATGGATGGATTTCAAAAAAAATTTGGACAAAAATAAATTTGTATTTTAATTCCATTTTCCATGAAGTTTTCAATGTCTTCTTATAATTTTTCTTTTCTGCTTATTATGACATCCAACATTGTGCTGAGTATTTTACATAGATTATTTCCTTCTTCTATTTTTTTTTTTTAAATTTTTGTCAGAGGGCATATGTGTTTGCTACCGAGAGAGAGAGAAAGTGAGAAAGCACCCCCCTCCTCCTCCCATGGGGCATGGTCAAACCTTAATCCGTTCTCTATCTCTCCCTCCTTTTGGGATTTTAGACATGCATGCACACACACTTGGCATGTTTCTCAAGCTGCCAAGTCTGGAATTTGAACAGCACAGTTGGCCATGTGGGATCCAGCTGCCTTAACCACATGCCATGGGCTGGTCCTACTTTTTAAGCTTTATTGGTTCTCTGGTTGTTTTCACTATTGTAGGTGAGAATATGGAGGCTGTAGTCCCTGCTTAAGATTACTTGGCTAGAAAGTGGCAGAGGCATGACCCAGATCGCATGTGCTTCCCGGCTATTCTGCCTATGTCGACTGCTGCTGTTACTGCTGAAGAGCACAGGGTCACCTGTGGGTCTCCCACTGATGCCTGGGAGAGAGGCTCTGCTAGGAAGCAGAATGTCCTACATGGCTTGTTCTTATCCCTGAATCCCCACTATCAATGCAGAAGAAGTATATTAAATTTCTTACTCTTTCTCCATCTTCAATAGTTCTCAGCGGACATAAGAAACCTAGACTTGAACTCCAATTCTGCCATTCCTTCCAAGAAGTTATTTAACTTCCCGTGGCTTCAGTGTCTTCATTTGTAAGTAAGGTTAATGACAGGGTTAGAGCTAATGTATGAGGGAATTTCAAAGAGGGGGATTAAAGTATGACTTTATTTTGGAAAACATTTTTGAAATTCATGCAATTTTTTATCATAATACACATTTTCTATGAACTTTTTGAAGACTTCTTACATGGGTTGTGTAGTACCTGGTACACAGTAGGTGCTCAATAAATGATAGTTACTGTTATTATTGTGAAAGTATTTCTTAGCATGTGCTCTGCAGGGACATATCATGAAAGGGCTGGACCTGATTCTAAGGAGTAAAATGATCACTCATTAAGAGAATAATGGAAACATACTTTTAATGATCAAAGTGCTTGCTATCCCATTATTCCAATAGCAGGCTTTCCAGAACATTCCCTATTTTCTTATGTCTATTTATGTGCCCTTTTATGTCTATTCTGCTACACTTTAAGGACGGTAGAGTCATTAATTCTGATGGGTCTACATGCTTCAGCAGAGAACTGAGTATATCCCTAGGGTCAACTGAGTGAGGTACACTAAACTATACTGGCACAAGTCAAAATCCCTAATCACGCTCACTAACTGTTTATGGTTCATTGTAGGGAAGACAGTAATCTGATTAAAAAAAATTATACTGGATGTCAGCAAATGATGGTTCCACACAGTCTCTTTGTCCTCAAAAGGCATTTACATTTTAAATGAGTTGTAATTAATCCTAAAGAATGAATCTTTACAGACCACAAATAGAAGTTTCCCAGGCTGTGAGTATGGGAGATTAATTTTGGACAGGGGTTCTTAAATTGCTCAAACAGAGATTTAGCCATCCCCAATGACCCTGCTTTCGAAGACTGTACTACATCAATAGTACTTTTGGTTGGAGAGAGAAAAACAACTTACCCAGGCAGATAAGGATTCCAGACTCTAATTATTCGATCCATTCCACCTGTCAGCAGCAAGTTCCTTCTCTTACAGAATGAAAATGCCTTGACTCCTTTGTAGATGCGGAACACTGTTTGATCACACTCTGCTCGCCTTTGGGGCAAACCAAGGAATGTTTGGCCTTTTCTTGTCTTGACATCTTTTCTAAGATTCTTTATCTCTTTCATCTTTTGCTTTACATTTGTCGTTTCCAAAGTGCAGCCTAGAAATATTCACAGAGAAACAAAACAGAGTTTCTTAATAGGATTATTCAATTTCCTGCCAGGTTGCTGATTCTTAAAGGTCCCAGGTTCATTTTCAGTGAGAGATAGTACTTTTTTCTTTCATCCCCAGGTGCTAAGCCAATAATAACTTTTACTAAATCTTTATCAAGTGCCCTAGCAATCTTATTTAGAGCTCATGGAAACTTTGTGAAGCACTTTTACCTCCATCTTTCAGGTAAGAAAACTTATACTTAAAGAGGTTAAGAAACTGTCATAAAAAAATGGTGGAGCCAAGCATCAAACCCAAGACTATCTGACTCCTAAATGGGGTCATTGAGCTGACCAATAAGTTTCATCAACCAAATAGCCAATTTTGTCCTGCAATGTTTTTAATGGATATTTGCAGTCAATGGATATTTGACTTATTGCTTATGAGTCTACTGAACACTAGAATGGAAATAGTAGCATCATACCGAAGCAATCAAAGGTCCTTCGGCAGGTTTCAGACACTGGTATCACCAGGTTGTGAAGGAAGTCCTTAATACGCTCACCAGTGCCTCTCCCATCCAGATCATCTATCTGGCTTACCAATCACTGTTCTCAGCCTCGTCTGAGGTGACTGGAAAGCCTTGGAGAAAGAAGGTAGGATACTCTGCTTTCCCCTCCCCTCAACTCCAGATAAACACTACTTTCCATTGTCCATGACTTCAGCTAATAGTTGAAGGAAGATAATGGTTTTGCTTGAGTGCTGTGCCTGTTATCATAAGGTACAGCTCAGTTGTTTTCAAGAAATCATAAAAGAGAATCTATTAGTCATAAAAGTTCAATGAGAGAGAGAGAGAGAAAGAGAGCTGCTCCATTCAACAGACCCTTGTCAAGTAGAAAATCTCTACATTCATCGGAAGCTTCCAGACTTTTCAGTGTTGGTACCCGGTCTTGAAACATGTTTTCAATATTCTCTATGACTGCCTTAGTCCATTGTTGCCTCTTGAGGGTCTCTGGTTTAAGGGCATATCCTGCAATTGAGTGAAAGAGAGAGAGAGAAAGAGAGCTGCTCCATTCAACAGACCCTTGTCAAGTAGAAAATCTCTACATTCATCGGAAGCTTCCAGACTTTTCAGTGTTGGTACCCGGTCTTGAAACATGTTTTCAATATTCTCTATGACTGCCTTAGTCCATTGTTGCCTCTTGAGGGTCTCTGGTTTAAGGGCATATCCTGCAATTGAGCTCAGGGAAGTGTCTAGGAAGGGAAAAAACAGTCTCACTTTCCACTTCCATGAAGCTCTTTCATTTTGATGAGCCCAACACCCTGACAATGAGAGTGGCTGCTCTCCATTCTGTGAATTCCAGTAGTGAATGTGGAGTCATTTCTGTTTGGTTGGGGTATGTGATCACGTTCCATATATTTGAGTAGCTGTAACCTGAATTCACCCCATTTAGGAGCTGGGTCACATCTGTCTGATCTATTGGCTGCAAATTTGGGTGACAGCTCTGTTGATCCTGGTCTCTTTCCACAGTGGCCAAGGGCTGTGTTGGGGAGGGTAGCTGGCTAGTTACTCTGTCCCTCTTCTCCCCTTCCTCCTTTGACAAGCAAGAGGAATGTAGACAGCCTTGAACTTGTAGCTCTTCACCTGCCAGGTGGAAGGGAAGGAAGATAAGTGGGGAGTGTAATGACTCAAGACAGCAGAGTGAATCTGAGAATCTGGGTGAGCACTTAAAGTGTCAAAGTGATGAGGCAAATCCTCCTCCAACAGCAGCTCGACACCTTCCTCCTGCTTGTTATAAGCAGAGATCTGAAACTTCTAAGCAGGTGTGTCACATTATTTTTATTTGTATTTTTTTTAGTCAAGGGAGAGCAGCCAGTTCATTTGCATGATCTCTAGCAGTTCTTTTCCAACAGAGTCAGACAGAGATGCACGTTTAAATGGTTGTCATGGAAACCAGAGCATAGCTTTCCTCCAAGGTCTGAAGGAGAGATGATAAAAAGTTTAAGTGATCACCATGGAAACCTACTGCAGATTCAAGTAGGGTTCAGATCCCCAGCACGCTAAGTAGCAAGTAAGTCTTCAGAAGCTGGGGTCCTGGTGGAAGGTTAATTCTGACTGGCCACTGTGGCTTTTGTAATCATCAGTCCTAACCCAGGCACCACCTCCATAGTCACAGGATCAGAGCATCCAATGGGGTCACCAGCTAGGTGAGTATGTTCCCCTAAAGCTCAGATTTTCACTGTTCCTGATTTAAGGTGGACATCAGGGTCTCTCTTGCTTGTCTCTCTCTATATTGAGGACTTGGTAAAATTCATGGAAAATTCATATTATGAAAAAACTATGCATGAATTTCACAATATTTTTGTACCACAATACACTTCTACTTTAATTCCATTTTGTTCCCCACAAACTTTTTGAAGGCCCCTTTAATCTTACCCCTTTCCTCTGTCAATGCGAGAATCCTGCCTTAAATAAATGAAAGCACTTGAAAGCACTTCTCATTCGTAGAATACCCTGTGTAATTGTTGGTTTATTCTGTTATTTTTTTTTTCTTTTTGTCCAAGGTAAACTGCCTCCAGAGTAGGTGGTTTACCACAGCCAAGTTTTAAAGTCCAAGGTGCTGTGGAAGGGATCTTACCTGAAGTGGAGATAAAACTATTCAAAGGGGGTCATATGAATGGGGAAAACACTTCCCTTGTTCCCTAATAGGGTTCTGACTCTCCAGCAGTCATTTACGTTGGAGTGGACTGAGGTAGTATTGTGAGCACTGGGAGAGGTGAGGTCACGCTGGAGATGGGAGATGGAAAGATGTAAGGAAAAGTCCCAGGAGGAAAACATTCAATAAGCTAATCACTACATAGCTCCTGTTTCCCTGGAGTGTGATACTTCAGAGCATTGCTTTAGGGGAGAGACAGATGTGGGTGTAAATGCAAACTTTACAATTACATTCATTCAACAAATATTTATTAAACACTTATGATACCCCACAAACTATTCTTTTTTCTTTTAATTGCCAGAGGGCACATGCACTTGCCAAAAAGAACAGAGAGAGGGAGAAAGCACCCCCACCCCACCTCGATGGGGCATAGTCATGCTGCATTCCCTTCTCCCCCATTTTTCTGTCCTACTGGGATTTGTGTGTGATTGTGCATAAGCCTGGCATGTTTTCAAAGCCACTGAGGCCAGGATTTGAACCATGGTTGGCCATTTGTAATCCAGCTTTTTTAATCATTAGGTTACAGAGTTAGTCCTATGCCATGAAATATTCTAAGTACTTGAGAAATAAAAGCAAACAAAATAACAGGAATTTGTGTCTTTGAGGGAAGACAGACCATAAACAACAAACATCAATAAAGAAAATATATAGTATATTAGAAGGTGATTGGAAGTACAGATTTAAGTAAGGGCAGAACAAGATAAGAAGAATTGGGGACACCAGGAAGAGTGAGTGGGTAGTTCTAATACATAATGAAGTGGGCAGGGCAGGTCACATTGAAAAGTGACATTTGAGCAAGGATTTGAAAAAGAAGAGGGAGTGAGCTATGTGGACATTTGTGGAAAGAACCTTCCAGGCAGAGGGAAGGACCAGTAGAAAGACCTTAGATACATTCAGGGAGATTGGTGTGACTGGAACAAAGAGTGAAGGAGGAAAGTAAGATGAGACTAGAAAGGTAAGTGCTGAGGTTAATCACACGAGTCTCTGCAAGACCTTGGCTTCTACTGTAAGTGAGATGGGGGGCCCACGGGAAGATTGGAAGGGATCTGCTTCTAATTTTGTAGCCTCTCTCTGACTGCCATGTGAAAAGACTGTAGAGGGCAAGATAAAAACAGGAAGATCAGCTAGGACTCCCTAAGGGTCATCCAAGGAAGAGAAGATAGTGATTTTTTTTAAGGTTTTTGCCATAAGAGGTGTATATTCACCAGAAACTGAGAGAGACAGTGAGAAGGAAACTGAGAAATCACCCCCTGGGGGGATGGCCACATTGAAATCCCTTCTCCATTCTGCTGGGATTTGGGGCACACATGCACACACACCTGGTGTGAGTTTCAAGTTGCTAGACCCAGGACTTGAACTCCAGTTGGCTATGTGGGAGTCCAGCATGTTAACCACTATGTCACCTGCTGGTCCCGAAGACAGTGATTCTTATCGATGTTAACATCAGAGTTGGTAAGAAGCGGCTAGATTTTGGATACATTTGAATATAGAGCCAATAGGCAGGATGTTGGTTGTGTGAGAGAGAAGTCAAGGGACTTCTGAGCAACTGGAAGGATGGACTTAGTACCAACAGAGGTGAAAAAAAGTAGAATGGATGAAGGAGAAGATATATTTCATATTTGGGCTTACTTTTATGTCTATGATTTATCCAAGTGGTAATGTCCATTAGCAAGCCAAGGAAGTTGGAAATATCAGACTGGAGTTCAGGAAGGAACTGGGATAGAGATATCAATTTTGGAGTTGGTAGCACATCCAGCCTACTGGAGGACACTTTAAGAGAGTGATGCAAGCATGGATGAGAGGAGGACTGGGGACTCAATTCTGGAGGTTCTAATATCATATTAGGAGGTATGGAGGAACAAGTGAAAGAGACAAAGAAGGAACACTCAATGGGATGGAAGAAAACCAAGGGAGTTTGGGGTTTAGAAGCCATGTGAAAGAAATATATGAAAGAAGTGGAAGAATTCAGTGGATTTAGCCACATGAGAGGCATTGGAGACCATTTCAATAGGGATTTTGATGGCATTGTGGGGAAGAAAAGGTCAAATGGGAATGGTCCTTGGAGGAAACAGGAAGAGAGGAATTGGAAAGGGCAGGTGTTCTAGTCTGTTCTGTTGCTCACAATAGAACATACCTGAAACTGGGTAATTTGTGAGAACAGAAGTGCTTTGGAGATCCAAGGTCTAGGGTCTGTATCTGGAGGGCAATTAATGGCTGCATTACAATGTGGTGAAGGGCAGGAATGTGTGCATCTGTGTCCATGTGCCTCTGTTCTGATATCAAACTCTCTTTGTAA